TATATGATGAACTACTGCACAACAGTAAAATTAATTAGCTCAAGCTACAAGTTTCATTGTAGATTTATATCTTAGAAAAACAGCATTGAGAGAAAGCAAGTTGTAGAAGAGGATATGCAAGATGTGTTAGGACAAGCTGAGTTATGCTGTAATAACAAATAGCCCTAAATCTCAGAGGCAAAGATTTAGGTCTTGTTTGTGCTACATGTCATTTCTGGCCTGACGGAGTGGGAGGAGTTTCTTCTCATGGTGGAACCCACCTGGTAGGGCAGCTGCTCTATGAGTCATTGATGGTTACTACAGAAGAGAGGAGAGTGAAAGAATGCACTATCTCTAAAAGCTGCTTGCAGGAAATAAAAATAAATCACTTTTTTTCTGAGCCACAGTTTCCCCAAAAGGAGCTGATAAGTGTCTGGGTGGTGGCTACCAGGATGAACCGCACAGCCAATGCTTAGTCAACGTGAGTCCCAGGCACTGGGTGCACACAATGCCATACTTTGGGGACCCGGAGAGCACTCATGGAACGGTCAGTGATCTCATTCCACTCCCCACCTCCAGGAGCTTGAACTGAGGTAGTCATTGCTCCGTGATGTTATCAAGCTGTGGTGATTACGCTTATGGATTGCGCAACGCCTTCCTCAGGGCAAACCTGCTAATAACGTTTGAAGGGGTGGGCAGGGCACTGTGCTCACCTCCCGACTTCTTACCTTAGGCTATGGATCCTTTTCTTGGGTCAGCCTGTCATTGGGTGTTCACCAGCTTGTGTTCTCCTGGGATTTCTCCAAGGGCCTCCCTTTCTGTAGGCTGCTCCCTCCTCTAAAACCTTGAAGGACTCCCTAGAGCCCACAGGGAAAAGTGTAACATGGCAGCTCCCATTGACTGAGAACCTACTACACACCAGGCACCCCAGATATTATCTCAAGTCTTCAAAGCAGCTCTGGGAAGAAGAGCTATGTGATCCCAATTTACAGTTGTGAAAATGGACACTCAGAGAAGGGAAATGACTTACCAAGGTCACAGGCTGTGGGTGGGGAGGAAGAGACAGGACAGGTTGGCCACTAGGTCTCTCTGACTCCCATGCTCCCTCTCTTTTTACCTTGGTGAGACCAGCCTCTCTAGCCAGGTTGACTTCCTCTCACTGTTCCTCCACTCTTGCCTACACTCTCCTACCTTTCTCCTTCTTCTTTAATTTTAATTTATGCATATAAGAACTGGGATAGAAGCCAGTTTTGTACAAGGGTGAGAGGATTCACCAGCAGCAGAGTGCAGAACAGAACAGGCAGATTGAAACACACTGTTGAGGGGAGCAGTGGGCAGGTCAGGAGAGGTCTGCCGTGCCCTGTGGGTCAGGTCCCTGGCAGGGGATCGAACTTGTGCTGCAGTGACTGTGGATGACTTCATAGTGATGCACTTTGGCCCCTTGAGCCACCAGGGAGGGCCCTCTCCTACTCCTCTGAGATCATCTAAACTCTCACAGGCGTTTCACTGATTACCAGCCACACGAGTCCCACCCTCACTGCATGATGCCAGTTACTTACTCTCCTGTCCTGTCGTCGAGAACCTGCGCTTAGTCATCTCTGCATCTGCCATGCCAGCCTGTGCTTGGCCACATCTGCTGTTTCTCAGCATTCCCTCCACAATTATAGAACACCTGCTGGGTGTCTGGCACCGTGCTTGATCCAAGGAATCAACAGAGGCTGAAACAAAACCCCTGACTTCATGGTGCTTATGTTCTGACATAGGAGTCAGAAAACAAACAAATGGGGGAAAGAGTACTCTGAAGGAAAAAAAAAAGACTAGGTCAGGGTGCAGAAAGTTCTGGGTTATAGAGAAGGGAGCGATTTTTGAGGAAAATCTCTTACAGGAGGCGACATGTGAGCAGACATCAGACGCAGTAGGCTCGTCTGACTGAAGAACTGAATTGTGAGTGAATAAATGAGTGGAATGTGTCAGCTGAAAGCCTAAGCTGGAGTTGAAAAGGGAATGTGGAGAGAGGATTTCGGAGAAACTGGTGGGTCCAAGAGACCTTCCCCCTGACAGTTTTTCTTTTTCTCTTCCATGAAAAAAAAAAATCATTTTTAATGTCCTGTTACATCAGAAATCAGAAGGAACTTGAAGTAGAAATTGGTAATTGCATGTAATCCAGCTCATGGACGGCACCCCAGTCTTCACAAAGGCATGGAGAAGCTCCTGGACTACCTAGGCAAAGCGAGAGGTGGATGATGAGGAAACCCGACTGGAGAGGCCTTGTTTTGAGCCAGTCGGGCCATCCTTCCTTTCTAATTAGAGCCCATGCGTCAGCCAGAGGGGCTGGACCTTCTTTTTTTCCCCGTTCAGCAGGAGGACTGTCCTTTTGCTGCCCCAGTGCTGTGAGAGAGAGGTCGGTCCTATGAGTCAATTTTGTAGGGGTGGCGTGAGGGATTGAGGGTTCCCAAAGATGCGTGTAACGCCATGAGGTGGCCTCTGTCACAAGGCAGAGAGGTCCCATCCCTTGGCTTCCAGAGTACCCTCTCAGGTAGCCTCTCCCTCTGGGCAGGCAGACTGTTCTCCGCTCAAAACTGAATTTCCCCAAGGCTGGGTACCAGGCTCTCTTACTTCTCAGGAAACTGGCTCCTACAGACGGTATGGAGATGTGGTTTTAGTTTGAATTTTGCAGAATTACCTATTTCTGTATTTATTGGTCATTTTGATGTCATTTTTTAAAGATTTATTTATTTATGCATACAAGAATTTGGCTACAGGCCAGAGGTGTGGGGGTGAGAGGATTCACCAGAGACAGAGTGGGGAGCAGAACAGGCAGATCAAATAAGTACACTGCTGAGGGGAGCAGTGGGCAGGGATAGGAGAGGTCTGCTGCGCCATGTGGGTCAGCTCCCTGGCGGGGGATTGAACTCGTGCAGCAGTGGCTGAGGGCAGCTTCGTAGTGCCTTAACCCCTGGTGCTGCCAGGGAGGGCCCAATGTCTTCTTTTCTGAAAGAAGACTTTCAGCTAGTCTTTTGCTTGTTTTTGTTTGTTTCTTCCTTAAATCTGTATTGTTCTTTTAAAATAATATTCGGACATGAGTTCTTGGTCAGTGGTATATCTCTATTTCTTCTCTTACAGTGTGAAGTATCTTTTCCCTTAGTGGTATCTTTTGATGATGAGAAATTCTTATTCTAATGTAGCCCAATTTATCAAATTTTTCCCTTTTGGTTGATGTAAGACAATTTTTGCAATCCCAAGGACATGAAGATATCCTGTGATTTTGTTTAAAAGCTTTTATTTTATGTTCATATCATTTATCTTCTCTCTTGAAATGATTTTGTGAAAAGTGTGAGAGACAAGTGGAAAGTATATTTTCCACATGGACCAATATACTTAGTACTAGTTTAATGAAAACAAAACTTTGCAAGGGGATATTTAGGGGTGTTCATTCTTCCAACTTCCCTATAGATTTAAGAAATGTTTTAAACAAAATATTAGGGGCAAAGGATGAAAAAAGAAAGGTAGCGGAACTGTTGTAGATAAAAGATACGGTGAAAATAATATCAAAACCTGATTTGATACTGTGGAAAAACACAACTATAAAAGATTTCTTAAAAAGGGTAATTTGGGCATGGACTGAATATTACAGGATATCACGGTATGATTATTCGTTTTCTTAGGTGTGACGTTACTGTGTAGAAAAAGGTCATTTTTCTTAGGGTTTCTTGAGGCATGAGCAAGGCAGCAATTTACTTTCAAGTGATTCAGAAAAACAAAATGTGCATATAAGTTTATAGAAATAAACCTTTAAAAATGATGATAATGGTTGAACGTAGGTGGAAAACGTACAGGTGTTCCTTCTACTGTTCTTTCAGATTTTGTGAATGTTTGAAAATGTTTGTCAAGGACATGGTAGGGAAGGGACCGTGTGGGCCAGAGAAGTAGCTGCAGTCGGATTGTTCAGACTATTTGGGAACTTTGATCCGGGCCTTCACCTGGGCTGTCTCACTCCGTGTGGCGTCGCTGTGGAGTGGTTTTAGTGAGTGGGTGGGCAACACATTCCAGGCAACGACTAGACCCTAAGAGGGGTAAGGGACTTGCCCAAGGTCACACAGCCCGTTGAGGCCAAGATTTGAGCCTACATCTATCTGAGTGGAAATTGCTTTCCGATTAAACCTCTTCTCTCTTTCTTTAAGCTTAGTGCCTTTGCACCTGCAGTTGACCCTCTGAGGTCTCCACTCGTGTCACTTGCTCAGGTGACCTGCCTGGACCACGCGAGCTGCCTCCAGCACGCGTCCGTTTTATTGTGTTTGGGCTACTACCAGTCTTTGCTATTATGAGTTAAGTCCCAACAAGACAAAGACCTGGTCTGTCCTGTAGCATTCTCAGCCCCAAGAACGACAGATGGTGAACGGAATGACGAACGGACAAATGGACGAACGAACGAACGAATTAGCGAATGAATGAATGAATGAGCGGAGGCGTGTTCCGAGCCGCCCGCCTCCAATCCGCGCTCTTCTGCTGCAGTGGGCGACCGGCCGCGTCAGCCGCGGCCACCAGCCCTGGGCTCTGGGGTTGGGGGCGCCCAAGCCCGGGGCCGACCGTTGCTGAGCGGCGCTCCCCAAAAGCCTGGGCGGCGGCCGCGGCGGCCGAGGGGCTGTCGCCATTGGGCTACGATCCCTGCGGACCTCCGCTCGGGCGAGGGTCGGGCGGGGTAGCGAGGCGAGCGC